CATTAACATACGCAAACAAATTAGTGTTTGTAGAAGTTGTGCCTGTTCAGTGTTTCCATACTCATTTGCATAAACAAAATTTTCCACGGTGATGGAAAATAATGGCTTTTCTATTAGAGCTATTGAAACCGCTCCTAAATTTTTAAAAATTCGCAAACTAAAGCTAATATTAAAAAAAAATATATGAGAAAATTTGGGACCAGCGACCTAAATTCACGCGAGCAATATTAATGCTGTTCTTTACATCTTTTGACTATAGGCCAGCGGAATTATAAAAGAGAATAATTAAAATGTTATCTAAAAAAAAAATAAATTTGAGATTAACGATAAACCAAAGGCTGCGAGAAAAAATATTTGCCTTAATCTTTTGCCGAACCCAGAATTTTTAAGAAGAATTGGTCTTCATTGACTAGTGTGCAGTGGGTCACTTGGGCTCTTACAATTAAAATAAAAGAGTAACACTTTGCAGGCTTGTTGCTGACTTTATTATAAAATATATTTTCATATTATATATAAATTTCAAGGTCACCCTAAGTTACACATAGTTTGTATGTATACCCTAGCGGTCGGTGGAAATACTTAGAAAAACCAAGTTTTGATTCGACGAGAAAATGGGTAAGAAAGTTTTGTATCTTTGTCACAATCTGTGCATGTCTCGATGGCATCTGAGTACCGGAATCAACTTTCAGCATCCATTGCTGTTGCCAAGACGTCAATTTCGCCCCAGCCTTAATTTTTCTTGTTGTTTGTTCCCTACCAAAACCTTGCCAAAATGTTTTATGAGGCGGTTGATAAGCTCGATGACATATTTTGCTTCTAAGTGAATCTTGAGTTTGGCTAACAGCAGACTGAGAGTGACATTTTGAAGGATGTCTTTGGAATACCGCGTCTTTAAACCTTCTGCGAACATTAATCCGATCATCTCTTTCAAACAGAAGTTCGTTGGTTGTCGAAAGGCAACATACTGGAAAGATTATACGAGCTTACATAAGAGGTTGAGTTCTTTCTGAGTGAAAAGAATAAAAGATTTACTGGAACAGTTTTCCAATTTGCCGCCCTAGCTGCATCTGGCTTATCTTGTGGATATTTTCACATATTTATTTAAATAATATTATTTAATAACCGGAAATTGCAATGTTTGGCTTCCGTGTAGAACTTTGTGGTTTATCGGCGAAAAACGTGCCGTAGGGATTTTCAAAGACCGAAACGAATGAAAGTCAGGCGGTGCGAAGTCCGGGCTATATCGCGAATGCTTTGAAACTACCCAACCAAGTTCCGTCAATTTATTCCGCGAGCCATCACAGATATGTGTGGCAAGGCATTGTCATGATGGAGCACAACTCCTTCGCTTTTAGCCAATTCTGCACAGTGGAGAACCGAATTGAGCGCTTCGCCACATTGTAGCAGTTCATAATGAACAATTCCATTCTAACCTCACCAGACACCCAAAATTACCTTATTTGCCGTCAACCCCGGCTTTGTAGTCGTTTGTGAAGGGCCATCGGTCTCGCTTGTGTTACTTACAAATTTTCGTATCAATCCATTTTTCATCACACCTAGTGATTTTCTTGAAAACTGTTACAAGTTTGTCACGTTTCAGCAGCATTTCATTGATAGTAACGCGGTCGATAAAATTTCTTTGGGTCATTTCGTGTGGCAGTCAAACATCGAGCTTCTTTGAGTAGCCTGCTCATTTTAGATGATTCCTAACTGTCAAGTGATTTATGTTTGATTCCCCTATTATCTCTTGACAGTTAACATGCGGGTTTTGCTCAACAATATGCATTATTTCATCGACTTTTCCATTGACTGGCCGACCGGAGCGAAGTTAAATTTTGACATCAAAATTTTCGCAACGGAATCGAGAAAACCACAGTTGTGTCCGGCGTTCACTGACAGCATTATCACCGTACACTTCACAATTTTTTCGGCTTATTTTTGTGGAGCGTATTTTTCAAATTGTCTTCAATAACAATGCAGCGCTGAAATACCGCCTTGATTACGGTTTCCAGATGCATGGGCTTCAAGTTCACATAGTGACAAGAATCCGCACAGATTTTTTATATAACCCAATATTACCCTAAAAATTGCAGAAAAGATGCAGGCACAAAAATCTCTTTGATAAAACTGAATTATTTTTCAAATTGAAAAAAATGGACTTGGCACCTTTTTACCTTTAGGTAGCGATATCATTTTTTAAACCTTCTGCTTTGTTTCGAATTTACCCCTTCCAACAATGTTTTGGGTCATTTCGATTTTGATAAGAATAAAGCTTGTGAATTTAAATACATGTAGAAGTTTTTGATTGCAGCTAACACATGTATTATAATATTTTCTTGCATTGAGTATGTATCGACAAAAATAACGTAGCTGACTTTTATCTGGTATCGTGTTTGATTCAGGAATAGATATATCTTGTCCTGAGTGGTAGCTTCTCTTGCCATTGAACTTGCAACTTAAATCACAGATTTCGCAGCCAAGCATAGTAAACGCTTAATTTGAGAAAAAAGAGTAAAAATGACCCGGAAACGCTATATGTGCCTGAAAAATTCTTTGCCCTGAGAGAAACTTTTTCTTTTATTTTTACCCAAAACTATAGCCACTGATGATATTAACGATTGGGTTACGCCATAGCTTGGTTAAAATCACACAGCTGTGTAATAAAAGCATTTTTCTTAAAAATCTGGTCTTTTTAGCCAATCATTGTAGAAGGGTTAAAACACAACACTCTTAATTAATGTTACTTTTGTATTTTTCGATTACTTATATTGTGTAAACGGTTTGAAAAATGTTTTTACGTATTTAGATTGATACAGTTTTTAACCGACTTCAAAAAAAGGAGGAGGTAATCAATTCGCCGGAAAAAATATATATTTCTATATGTATGTTACCACATAATTTTCGATCACGTTAAACGATTTCTATAATTCTTCTTTTTCAAGGAAAACTGGTGCCTCAGAGCTAATAAATTAAATAATAAAGCTATAAAAAATAACTTAGTAAACATTGTTAAATATTTCTTTCGCAAATTAGGAAATCCATTGTGGAATCACTATTAAATATTTTTCTTCAGCCCATGAATGTGTTCATATTTCAATTTGCATCAATGAGCATATCATAAAAAATTTTTCCGGTGCTTGAAAAATTCACTAAGTCACCTTTCAGAAAGCTCAAGTTCTGAAAGCAATTTTTTCGCATTCGTTTTGTGCTTTTTATTTGCTTCTGTACGCGTCAACTTTTACTGAATTGAAGTCCTGGGTTCTTTGAATGGAGAGCAACGAAAAATTAAAAGAGACAAGAAAACTTGAAACGACTGGCCGGTATCTTTACTCTTCGTCTCTCTTCTCACCTCCTTCACCCATGCACGAGAAGACTTGAAAGCAAGACTTGACGTGTCTGAAAGGGGACTAACTGCATAAAAATGCAGCATCTGGCAGCTTATTCTAGTAGTTAGCTTAAAAGTGGTCTTCAACGAAATAAAACTTAAAATATTTTCATAAAATTTTTAGCATACTTTCTTGTTAAGGTAGTTTGCATGCTATCAAAAGTGTTTTCATACGTCATTCATGCCTTTAGAGTAATAACACAGTCTGTATGTATAGTCTACACAAAAAAATATTTATAATAGTTTTTTTTGCATAATATGAACACACCTTCCTACAGACCGTACAAAAAAACACCTTTTCTAGAGTCACAGTTCATTAAAACTCATTTACACAAATGTATGTTTGTACAAACCACAAAATTCAAGTAGTTTCATAAAAATTTTGAAAACACTGAAAATGCATTTTCCAATATTTTAGTATGCATTTTCTTTTAAGTTCTCACATACACAAACCCACACGCATACATACATAGTCTCTTAGAGGCCTGCCGACTCTACTACCTATAGTCAGCAAGCAAGCTGCCCCAATTTTGCCGCTACAGTTCACAATTTCCCAATTTCACGTCTCCTTGCTCGCTAAAAACCGAAAAAAAAACAAAAAAAAAATTTAATATACATATTCTTATTTTTATTTTTATACATTGCTTCTTCTTAGTCGATTTCTCATTTCTTCACAAACTTCTTGCCGTCCGACCCTCTTGGGACGGACTGTGCCATTGTGGGAACGGGACGATACGGTGCGGTGCGGTGCGCTGGCTGGTGCTGCGGTGCACCAATGAATGTACGCGCGGCGACGCGTTTTCAGTTTTTCGCATTTTCTGCGGTCACAGCGGCAAAAGAAAATCGAGCTTTCGCTCGCGAGTAATTTTCGAAAATAGATCGTCGCACACCGATCGTTGAAACACAAATAAAAGAAAAAAAAAACAGAAATATAATAAAAATATAAAAAAGTTACAGCCGGCGGTGGACTGTGCAATTTACGCACCGGAACCGAGTCTTTAAAATAATATTAAGTATAATAATATTTTTGCACTAAATAATTTAGCAAGCTATGCACGTATGTATTTTATAAACTGCGGTTTGTTTGTGAAAAAAAGAATAAAATTTTTTAATGCTTTTTCGCTCACTAGGCACTTTTTCTTGCACTTTCCAATTGGTTTTCATTGCGATTTCGTAGAAGTAGGTAGATAGAAAATTTCTGTTTCACCTTGTGTTATTTGCCACTTTTTTAAATACAATTTTCACCAGAATTTCTCGCATACATTTTATTTTATTTAAGTGTGCGGCGTACATAAACATTTTCGTTACTTGTTTTCGCAAACAGATACATTTTTTCTCAATTTTTTTTCTTAATTATTTTTTTAAATTTTTTTATTTGTTAACGGTATTTTTCTTTGAAATTCGTATAGTATTTTTTTTATACAGCAAAATCCATTTTTACACCGGTCGCATTCGATTCACTTTTGCTTGCACACATTTCAATTTATGTTTGTATGTATGTATGCACTAGTGTAGGTGTTGGTTTTATGACGGTACTATGCGTATATGTTTGTATGGATGTATGTATCACATGCGTACACATTTAGCTCTAGAAGAGATATTAATTTCAAACAACCTCAATAAAGTTTCTCAAAAATCAAATGCGGAACTGGAAACTGCAATCTCCGACATTACATGCGAACTCAACGATTATTAAACTACCACTAAACCAGCTGCTAATTCGCATCCGTCGCATTGCGTTCTCTGCTCGCACTCGGCTATTAACAGCGCTATGTTATGTTCGTTTAGCCTACATTAATGGTACGTTCACACAACAGCATCGCCTATTGCTGTCGAGCATGTTTGTAGTTGATGTTAAAAACCGGATATTCTGTTAAATTACGTGTCTGCTTACAAAATTCTGTTGTTGAACATCTTGGATGACAGCATATGCAATTTTATTGCATCGAAGGATTTTGTACATTGAGGTTAATTTTACAGATAAGCATATTAGGGATACTTTGTTTATATTAAGGTGCTGTAAATATTTATAATGCTTCCAAATAAATATATATGTATATGTATATACATATGTATGTGTAAGGCACACAATTTGTATCTAAAACATTCCTAACGCCGTGCAACAGATTTCAGAAAGTTGGAGGCGATAAGAAACGTACCAGCCAGTGTTGCCGTTTTGTGGGTAATTCCCCAAATTGGGGGAAACTATATATTTTGTGGATAATGTTTGGGGTACGATATGTTGTGGGAAATTTGGGAAATTTGCTCTTTAACAATTATCTATGAAAAACTCGAGTTTCATAAAGGGTTTCAAATTAATTTTTATAGAATTTCCTTATTTCATTTTGATTCTGGTAGTGTCTTCTGTATTAAATGTTTTTCTATTTAATTAAAATTGGCAACAATAAAACTATGGTGTAGTATAGTAGCACTGTGTAATAATTACTACAGCAGTGGTAAGTAGGGCGAATTCATACGAGGTGGTCTCGCATAAACAGCTGAGATATTCGCCGCAGGGATCGAACATAACATTTATTGATAAAAACCGTCATAAGTGATACATACCGATGGATTTATTTTTTCGCCGAGAATCAAATTTGTTATTTCGATGCAAATTTAAAAAAAAATAACAATTATTTTTTTTTATTTTTACCAAAAAAAATCTGTAAATAACAGTTATTTTTGACGTTTATATTACCTATATATCTTAGATAACAGTTTATAAAAGTCATCAATAAAAATCAACCACCGACTTTTATTTTTTAAATTATACGTATGAAACTAATTATAATTTTTCGAAATTAAGACTATGTTCACACAGGCACCTAATTGGCAATTAAGAAACTTTTCAACTATTTAAGTCTTAATTGTTATCCAATTTATTTATTAATATGTAATTAATTGGCAATTAATTTGAGTCAGGTTCTCTATGCAACCCTGCCAGGTATGTTTAATTTTGACTTGGAGGTATGTTTATTGGATAAAGAGCAATCAGCTGTTTGTTTCTGGCCCTCTTTTACAGCTGATATTCCATCAGCGATGGTAAATTGAATTATAAAATTGTACCAAATTTACGGAAAACTTTACATAAAAGTCCTAAAAAGTAAATATATATTTGTATATAAAAAAATAGGAGGATAACAATTCCCATCGATACCATGCCAACTTCTGTACTCACATTAAACAAATTTTGGCTATGAGAAGTATCTCTTCGAACAGCGCGAGATTAAGCTATGTTGTAGAAAAGGTGAATCACTTTCCTCCCAATTCTTCGATCTGACGTTTTAAAAATAAAAATATTTTCTGGCTATCTGGCGAAATCCACTATACATAATTGCGTTACTTTCACCACCCTTTTGTATCATTTGTATGCCCCTTCACAAAGCAGGGAAGCTATTAGACCAGTTGCCCGCACCAAAAAATGCATTGAAATGTCAATAAAAATAAGAACAAATTTGAATAGAGATGATTGAGTCAACATCGAGTTGCTAACTGTTTACTTAACTGGTCATAGTCATCTGCACGCTCACTTGCACCGGATTGGCCTATCCACTGAGACGGATTGCCGTCTTTGTCCTGAAGAGGAGGAGGCGTCGGGGAAAATTATGTGTGATTGTCCAGCATTGGCCAGAAGAATACTGCGACAATTTAGTCCTTCCACAATCGAAGACCTAGGTTAGGTTATCTTGGCTACTCTCATCCCGCACAGAAAAAGAGCACACTTAGGCCACCATGGCCCCTTATGATGCCACATTAGGGACTTATCACGCCCCTCCACTTACCTTACAAATAGAAAGCAACTGCATGCGAACTAATAGAAGAATCGATCAGCCAGCTTGGGAGCTTCAGTGTTGATGGCAGCTGAGTCAGAATACGAGATCAGGACTAAATCCTCTTACCATTCATTCCTTGAGGGGATCCTTTTCGAGAGGTGGTTCTTTAGTCCAGTAGGCGGGACTGTGTAGTCCAGGCCCTTGAAGTCTAATGTAAGATTTCCCAAAAATTCTACAATTCTACAGTTCGTTTAATGTATTAGCATTATAACTTGCCTGTAGTTTACCATGTAAGCCCACATGTAGAAAGTGAAGCAAGGTCTCTATGGCTTTAGTCGGCGTCGATGGTAAGGCTCCAATCGAAGCTCTAAGTACTTATTTGGATATACGAAAGAAACTATTAGCATTCATTACAGAGCTTATAAATAGTGACTTGGATCATCAGAGAGAGATCTTCTATATCGCGGTGTCTCTTGTTTATGTTGGCACCTATTACCTTTACACTGGATTACATGATGCCGCTCGGTTGCATAAAAAAACGATATTGAATTCAGCTGAAATACGTACTATGTACTACAATAGGGGTATTCTCGAAGTCTTGCACGATGCACGGATTGCACGAAATGCAAAAATACTATTCCTAATTTCGAACAGTACGAGAGCACCCCACTGCAAAGTGGTAGAATGCATGGGTAGCAAGCAGCGTAATTATGTATCAAATACAATAACAAGAGACAGCAGAAAAAAATGAAGTGAGCGAGATGAGAGGAATGAGAGAAATATGTAGCAATTCCAACAACAAAACAACTATCACAGGGTCGCATATATCTTGCTATGCTATTTTGCAAAATATATACATGGGTTTCGACATTGCATATTTTGCAGCGATAGGAAATGTCGTTTCCCATGTATTTTGTTGTTGTGTGTTTGTACGTTATGCAATCCATGCAATCCGTGCTACGTGCAATGGCTTTGCAAGATTTGGAGAATACCCCTAATGTATATTTCATCATATTTTGCAATTTGCTGGCGAGAGGAAAAGCGATTTCCCTCGTATAGGATCGTGAGGCAGTCTAGTGTAAACACATACATACATACGTACATATTGTCCTTTAAAGTACAAAACCGCGTATCGTCATTCTGCAAAACCGCGTAACTGACATTGGCTGCCGAAAATTGGATTTGCTCGCACAAGCTCTTGGCTCAATCCTTATCCATTCGTCCTGAAATATACTAGCCAGAAATGCGATTGCTTTATAAAAAAAGAGAACCATTTTGAAATATGAGTATTTTTACGCTCTAGAAAATAATCTCTACATCTTCACATACGCGGTTTTGCATTTTGTTGATACGCGGTTTTGCACTTTAAAGGACGATATGTAGTATGCATGTAGCATACATATGGCTAAATATTTACACATCCCTATTGCAATTTTGTGCATGCATAAATTTTCGATATACACAATTTCAATTTCTAGGCGCCACTTACAACATGTTTGCCGGCAACATGCATCTCGCAACATGTTGTGTTTACACTTTGCAACGAACTGGACTTAACTAACACTACATAAGTTAATCGCTTTATCGCTTCTGTGCGTGTTTGGATAATTTGCAGCCGCTTCCGCTGCTGCTGTGAATGCTATTGTTGCTATTTCTGCGAATGTTTGCTTTGTTAGTTTTGATTGTTTTGTATGCTGTTGTTGCTGTTAGATTTTCTGTTGCTGTCGCTGTTGGTGGAGCAGTGATCGCGCGTGCTAATCGGACATACGCTGCTTATGTATGTATGCAAGCATATGAAGTACATTTGTATGTATGTATGTATGTATGTATGTATGTATTAGAGTTGCCGTTTTTAAAACGATTAAATCGAAGATCAATTAATCCTGCCCTTCCAATTCAACTCTTTGTCGATTTTTTAGTTTCGATTCGATCCGTGAATCGATCCAAAAAAGTTGAGAATCGACATTCGATTTTTTCCCAATCGATGCATATAACATTGCATTAGAAAATCTAGAAAATTTTCATTTGTGGCTCGTACTAAAAATTAGGGGGGCTTGGATATTGCATCTCGCTGTAGTTTGTAGGGCAATTCTGGCTACTAAAAAGTCTTTCGTAAGACAAATGAAAGACATTTGGGAAGATAGTTTGAAAGACTTTTGTTATTCTAGCACAAAAGTCGTAGAAAAAAGCCCTCTCACTCACCACCCGTGGTGAAAATTTATTTTGCGAGAAAGCTCTGTATACACGGTTGCCACTTTGGTAAAATGTTACCAAAATTGGTAACTTTTATTTTGGTAATTTGGTAACATCCGATCCCATTTGGTAACTTCAGACAAAATGCTTAAATATATTAAAATATTTTTGAACATCATACAACATCTGCGGCTAGGTAACATGCACACAGCTAATTTCTTATTGAATGAATTTGTTTTTGATGATAGATACGAAATTGTGATTTATGATTAGCGATATGCACATATTTACATATACATGTGCCATTAGGAGTTAGGGTCATGGTGTAGGCCGCGGTGTTTCAAAATTTAGACGATTATTATTTGAGTTTTCCCACAGAAAATTGTCTGAACGACATGCAGTGAAATATATGACGAGATTTTAATATTAACCTGTGGAATAATGAAGCTATCCTTGCCTCAGAAGAGATTTATTTTCGTACTACATAGTTGTTTATTTAAAATGTTAATGTTATTTTATTAACTTAAAGTTTAAAATTGCTTAAAAAAATAAAAATTGATCATGAAATATATTTAATTTAATCAAATCTATAGATCAATTATTACACTGGATCACAAATTTTAGTTTTTGTTCTGCCACTATAGAGAATAGCTCGCTGATTCCGAAAATCGAGTAAATATTCTGGTGGACAAGTTTTCGAGATGTTTGCAATTTTTTAATTT